GTGTACATCTCATTCCTGCAATGGGTCCACCTATATCCCTATTTAAACAATTTGTTTTTTCCCTTCACCTCCACAAATTATACCAACATCAAATACAGTGAAAACAGGGGTAAGTGAAGTAAGCCAGGCCCAAAGAAACATAGATCCCATGGTTTCCCTTATTTGCAATAACTAGTATGTGTCTGAGACAAGCAGAAACGGTCAGATAAGTTGATGTTAATCCAAATGAACCGCAAGATAAGGACTCAAAATTTTTTTTATTTCTTGGGATTGTTTCTAACATATTTATAAGATGATTTCTTTGATGCATTGTATGTCCAACCCCCATGGTAGAGCCACAATTTTTCTTGTTACAAATCTTGGCTCTTTAAAAAAAAATAAGTGGCTAGAACTAATTTCTTCTTTTGGTGAGAGTGGTAGATAAATTCCTCTTAGCATTCGTTTCTCATGGCTGGAAGGCCAGCTTTCATAGAGTTAATACAAAGCAGTACTAATAAACACCATGCTACACAGGTATCAGTCTTCTTGGTTTAAACAGATTGGATTATCCCTGGAGATTTTCCTGTTACTCCAGGAATTGTCAGTTTTCTGGTGAGTTAGGGTGACAATGCACAATGTCAATCTTAGGGGCAAAACTGTCACAACCAACCCATGTCCATATACTTGTCTCACCCTAGTCCATACGGAAGGAATTGTATTTTCTTGTGTAGCATAGCTTTCATTGAATGCCCATTAAGTATTCTATCATGAAAGAAAGTTCTTTAAAATGTTCAATATGACAGTGTTGACGTTTTTGTGTCTGTGCAAACACAGAGGCTTGATCTTAGAGCCCAACCCCACTCTCTCATCTTTTTTGCTCTAGACCCCTACTACAGCACTTGAGCTACATTTCCACTTCTAGCTTTATGGTGGTTAATAAGAGATGAGAGTTTTTCTTATGCTTCCATGTAATTATTATACCTCTGGTATCACATTTTCAGTAGGAAATTATTATTTATATATTTATTTTGGTCAGTCATGGGGGTTGAACTCAGGGCCTGGGTACTGTCACTAAGCACTTTTAGCTCAAGGATAGTGCTCTACCATTTTGAGCCACAGCTCCACTTCCAGATTTCTAGTGATGAATTGGAGATCAGAGCCTCACAGACTTTCCTGCCTGGGCTGGCTTTCAACTGCAATCCTCAGATCTCAGCCTTCTGAGTAGTTAGGATTATAAGCAAGATCCACCCGCACACAGATTAAATAGGAATTTTTATTTATTTATTTTATTTATTTTTGGATTTGGTTTCTTTTTGGGGGGGGGGGGCGGTCTGGTCATGGGGCCTGAACTCTGGGCTTGAGCACTATCCCAGCTCTTCAGCTGAAGGCTAGCGCTCTACCACTTGAGCCACAGTACCACTTTATTTTTGCTTATGTGGTTCTGAGGAATCGAACCCAGGGCCTCACACATGCAAGGCAAGCACTCTACCACGAGCCACCTTCTCAGCCCTCTTTTTATTTTTCAATAAGTTTTTTATTGTGAAAATACTGTACAGAGGAGTTACAGTTACATGAGCAAGGTAATGAATACATTTCTTATCAAAAATTGTTGGCTCCTTCTTTGTTTTTCCACTACCATCCATTTCTCCCCACCTCCACAACTAAACTCCCTCTTTACTCTCTCCACGCCCCCCAGGCCTAAATTGTAAAGTTTGTTTTCGACATAGTGTCTTGTGTACATTTCATTGTTACAATGGGTCAACCTGTATCCCTATATCCCTATAATAAGCATTTTGTTTTTTTCCTGCTCTTCCCCAAATTATATCGACATCAAATACAGTGAAAATAGGGTTTATACCATGGGGAAGGAATATACAAAGCAACAAAAAAAATCACATGGTACCTTATAAATATGTTAGGAAAATAGCAAGAGAGAAAAAACCATTTTTGTCCATATCTTTGATTCATTTAACTTAAATAACCAGGTAAGATGAAGTTAAGTGAAATATTTTTTAAATCCTGATTTTAAGGGTTTATTTGTTGTTATTATATACGTTTTTTTGACCCATTGTAATAACTAGACGTAAGTGCAAGACACTATGTTGAAAACAAACTTTACAACTTGTGTGGGGGGAGGAAGGAAGGAAGTGGGGCATTGGTGTGGGAAGGGATATTAGGGGAAAAACAAAGGAGGAGATAAAAATGCTCCACAGGAAATGTACTCATTACCTTACTCATGTAACTGTAACCCCTCTGTACACTATTTTTACATAAATCTTTTTTAAATTTTTTATTTTAGTCTTTTTTGGTGGGGACTGGAAACTGAACACAAGACATTGTATGTGCTTGGTAAGTACTTTGGCACTGAGCTACATCCCTGCCCAACTGTCTTGTTTTTAAGAGAATTTGTATCATTAATTTTTAGTCTCCCTTTGTATTTTCATTTTAGAAAGCAGCCTCCTACACTGACAACGATGACAGTCACATGGACAAAGATTGCCTACTGGTTCATTCGCAGGAAGACACGGATTCTAAAGGCGCTCCATTGGCTGTTGCAGTTTTATTGAAGGAGAGCTAGAGGACCACTTCATACATGGCTTGGGACTTGAATTCAAGACACTGGCTGCTTAGACGAAAAACTAGATATGGATATGGAAATGGAGCAGAGGCAGTACCTTGTTAAAGAAACAAACAGGAGCACATATTTGATGACATATTTGCATGAGTAAACCCTGGTTAATTCAGAGAATAGATCCTCCTCTAACAGCAGCTTTCAAGTCCCAGAACCTATGCATTGCGCACAGACAGAGAAAGTAACTCAGGAGACAGTCACTGAAACATCTGTGTCTTCCAGTCAGAGTCAAAAGATAGTGCCACCTCTTCCTGACCCCAGGGCTTCTGGGAATATCATAATGGCAGGATCTTCCTATGCCACAAGCTCTACTCTACTCTGCTAACAGGCACCGTGATCCTGGGTCCAGGACGACTTCAGAGCCTTATTGTGACAGAGAGGCCCAGCAGCCACCATGGTAGATCACCATGGGAATGTTGTGGTTACAGAAAGAATGTTGTGGTAACAGGTGTCAAGAACCCTCTGGAAGCCAGCTACCATCTTCAAGATGCGCATTATGTTATGATAAGGAAGAGAGAGAGAGCATCCCTGTTCCCAGTTCAGGGGTACAACCCACTGTAACCACACCCAAAGGTGGAATGTGTTGGTGTGATGGTGACAGAAAGAGTGATAACCTCTGCTACCATGCTGCACTCCAGTTACCAGACCCTTACTGAAGCCTTGATAAGAATTAGAAACACTGTGGTTTCTGGAACTGGAGTCCCCAGCACTTCTGCTTTTGCAGATTCTGGTCATTCTAACTCTACCATGACCACAGCTAATGCCAGAGTCACCAAGCACAGCACTGTGCAACATCCTTAGTCTTAAATAGCATTCAGTCACAGACTCACCAAGAATGGAACTAGCAGTGACTGGCTGAATGTTGTGCATGTTCCTGGACTTTCAGGAGACCTGCAGACCTGCAGACAAGAGATAATTGAACTTGAACCTCTTCTCAGTCACGGATCTGCACAGAGCCACACTGTCTCTGCTCCCATTGGTGTGTTTTAGAAAGGCTTCTTGATTCCCTTAAGGGCCTATTTTCAGCAGGTTGTGCAGACAATAATCACAAAACAGAGGGACATCTGGTTTCTGGGAATTTGCTAAATTGACATGTAGTATCCAGTTCATTTGCAAACCCAGGAAACTGAATTTTCCTGCATATCCTGTTAACATTTAACTTAGAGTCTCCACATTCCTGCCCCAAGCAGATCCATACTCATTTATCCAAAGGCACTTCTAAAGTCTGGGCTACCACTTTCCTTGTTTTTCCTTTAAGACTGAAACTCTTTCATTTAAATGAGATGTGTTAAATTTTCAAGCACAGAAATAGTAAGAATAAACACAGTGTGTGTATGCACGGGATATTTGAGTATATGCTGGCCATAAAGTGAGTCATGTCTTAGTTATTATAGTAATAATAGTTCATTGCTTGAAAAGCTCAGGATATTCTCCACCTTCCTCCCTGAATACTAGGGTTTGCACTCAAGGCCTTGTGATCTTGCTTAGCTGTTTTGCTCAAAGCTGGCACTCTACAACTTGAACCACACCTCCAATTCCAGCTTTTGGAAGGTTAATTGGAGATTAAAATTCCATGGACTATACTCCTCTGGCCTGCTTCAAGTCTCAAACCTTAGACCTCAGGCCTCCTGAGTTGCTATGGCAAGATATACTATTTTCTGACAGCCACAATTTGGTGGAGGCTACTATCCCTACTATTGTAGGGATGGTGTCTTATCAATCATTCTAACACTGCCATAGGATGCACACCACCTAACATGATGCCAAATAATTATTGATAGAAGCAAAGTGAATTTTCAAGCAATTCTTTTTCAGGTAAATGGCCAGAAACATCAAAGGATCTTATGTGTCTTCTGTTATGAAGTTTGAAATTATGCTTTTCTTCTGGTATCTCCAATGCATTCATAGGCTTGTAAAGAATTAATATATGGATAATAGATGTTATATTGTAAAATCCTCAAATATTGACCTGACAATGCACAATATCCTTGCCTTGTTTTTTTTAACAAAGTTACCAGAGTTATGAGGATCCAAAGTAGATTGCATTTATGTCTCTCAGAAAGTGCTGTACTTCAAAATATACGTGCAGATCAGGAAGAGTTGACAAAAATACTCCCTGCCACAAAATTTTGTAATTTTTACAGACTACCTAAATTTTTGACTTCTATTTTTTAAGGAAATGAAACATGAAGATGATACTTTTGTGGGCTAAGGAGATGGTTTAGTTGAGTTTTGCTGAGAAAAGATTTATACACTCTTCCAATATCTGTGTAAGGACAGATACTTAAACATAATAAGTTGTGTCTGAGATGAAAGTCTCTCTTCCGTGATCTGGAATTGTTTACACTCTACTTAGTAGGTTTTGTTATTTGTGTTGTTTTGGTTTTCCTTTTTCACTACAATGTATTTTATTTTGTCAATAGGAATATCACTGCTGTGAGAAAATGTTCATATGATTCATGTATCAGAAAAACAAAACTTGATCTTCCTTGGGCAGCCATGAAAACCTAACTTGACCCTGTGTTCTCAAATGTTCTCACATGCTCTCAGTGCTCTCTGTTCTCTAGAAGGTAATATTTATTCCTTTTTACATAGTTGTATGTATAGAATAATAAATATTTAAATGAAAAACAATGTTCACAATGTCCCATTCTCTACTGCTTCTGAGCGACTTCTCATATATTACCAGGAAGATTGCTGAGTTACAAGAGTCCTCTTTGGTCTGTGTTCATTCCTGAGATATGTTTCAATGAGAATAGCTGATGTTTTTGGAAGAGGATTGTTTTTCTTTCCAAGAAGGAAAAAAAAAAAGGAAAACCCAGTGAAACTTGAATTTCAGATCAACAATGAACAAATTCTACCTTTAATGGAATAAGTAGAGAGGCTGTTCAACTTGTAATGGAGTTATAGCCCAATAAACTTGTTATCAATGAACACCTAGATCAAATGAGCACATAGCACTCCTACCCATCTGAACAAAATGGCGTAATTTAAAATTAAGGTATATCACATTGGTGCCAAAGAACACTTAAAGCATGGTAAGTCACGGACTGTCTATATCTGTTATTTATTCACATTTTACTGGTAAAACAATTATATTTCTGGTTGGAAAATGGGGAAACCATCATCCTAAGAAAAAGCAGGACCCTTTTTCACAAAGTAGCCCACTAAGAACCTATGGATTTGTCAAGGAGAGGCCTTGTACAGTTGACACAGAGAAAAATCCATCTCTGTTTGAGAGGTATTCTTAGTTCCTCATGAGCTCTAAGAATAGTTTGATAGGTTACAGCTCGGTATTTGCCATATTTGCACAAAGTCTAATAAGAAGTCGTGTATGACCAGAGGAAATTTGTCATCTGTGATTGGTTGAGACTTACCTTCTTGTTATAGAAGTACAGTCTCAAGTGTAATCCTCTCTTCATTTAACTCCTGGGCTAAGTGGCAGTCATCATGGAGGGACTCAAGGTAGGAGGCAGCCTAAGCACAAATTAACTTTAACCATAAACCAACTTGGACTAAAATAAAGAGGGTTTGGGCTCTGGGGCAAGGAAGACAAGTTCTGGGAGAGTCTCTTGGAAAAGGATGACAAACAGGGTTAAGGGTTGATAGAAATCAATGCCTCTGCAATTTAGAGGAATCCCTTATGAGTTTTGAGCTATCCTACTCTTCTTGGTACAGAGATACCATTATAACTGGACATTTCCTTCATAGATGGGAAGTTCCCTCACAAAAAAGGTAAACTTACATTCTGTCTTCAGAACTGTGTTTTTAGTTTCTCAAAATAATCAACCTAAAGTAATTGCTATGGTAAAGTGGTCAGAGAGGGGAAGCACATTGTGGTCTCCTCCACTGACAATACTACTGATAATAAACTGATGATGATCACTTCAAAGCACCAGTGCATCAAGACTGCTCTACTTCTGGGGCCAGGATGTCTACCCCAAGTGTCACATTAGAGCAGCATTTGGCTGATCTCTGCGGAGTGTTTGCTAATCACCACTCCATCAAGGTGTACACATACCTGGAAATGACATGATTCACAAAGCAAAGGTCATGGGAATAAACTGGGGACTTTTGGGAAGGAAAAAGGAGGACCACGAAGGGGGAAGGAGGAGAAATAAAATAATAGAGGGGTAAATATGATCCAAATGCATTATATGTGTGTGTGTGTGTGTATGTGTGTGTATGAAAATGCAAGGAAAAAATACTTCCAGTGTATGACAACATACATGAATAATAACAAGTCAGATGACATGCTGCAAGCAGTAGTCTTCAAAACACTAAATGTTATGTGTTTAACACATCAAAAATCTCTTATTTTTTTCTATTTTACTGCCATTCAAATCTTCTAGTATTACTGAATTTTGAATGTACTTTGTAATCTATTAGATGCTGAAAAATGAATTATTTAATTTTCCTACTCATCAGGATTTTTCTTATATGTTTTATTTTTTCTACTGTAACTTCTGAATTATACACCTTCACATATGTGCTGTTGTGTGTTCCTTCAAAATGAACTTTTAAGCTGTATGAAATGTTTCAATCTCTAGGGATCATGTAATATGCTTTATCTGAAATTAAAATAAATAATGTTTTCTTTTTTCCTTTTCTGTTTATATTTTTAGCCACTTCTTCTAGTTCTATTTTTATCATTTTTTATGATTTTTCCCCAACTAGCATCTCATACTTTTCCCAATCTGGCCTTCAACCAATCTTCTCCTACCACTACCTCCTACCTACTTAGTACTACAGCATGCACTGTCATGCCTAGACCCAACATTCTTAGGGTTAGTATTTCCACAGTTTATCATTGTTTTTCTGTTCTTTTCTGTTCTCCACCTATCTCTGTCTCTGTCATACATTGCTGTGAACAGGGCACAGGTAGGTCTTACATCCTTGCCCATTCGACAAGTGCTGAACTTTTATGTGTAGACGCTGAAGCCTTCAGCTTGGTGTCTACTGCTGCTATTCCATCTGCCTTTTCACTCTTCCCTCCTTTTAGGCTTTCTGTGGAGGGAAGTGTGATGTAGACTACCACCACGGGTTTATGTCCTTGTGTGTAATTAAACACAAGCTCTGTCAGCCTAGAAAACCTTTCCATGAGGCTACAAGAGAAAGAAAATACTTCAATAAATAAATAAAAACCAAGCCAGATTGTACTATGTATCCCTGATGACAAATAAAGAAAATGCAAAGACAGGAAAAGTCTCCTATTTCCTGACAGGTATCAGCAGGATAAGGATGTTAAGTTAACCTTGAATGGGTCTAGGCCGCGACCTATGCCGGATGCTGAATCAGATGCTGCTAAGCCTGTTACTGATCATCGTTTCTGCTGCAACTACTGCTGTTCCTGGTGCTGTACCTAGTGCTCACTTCTAGCACCTGACTTACCGGGTGTCCAGCGGGGCCGGGTGAGGCTGGAGGCCGCTGGGTCTGCTGGGAGAGGCCCGAGCCCCAGGGCGCGCGCCCTGTCCACGCTCCAGCGCTCACACACGTGGACATCATTGGTGGCTCGCGGCATTCGTGAACGTTGCTCATCCGATTTGCCTGCGACTCACCGAGTTGGCGGGAAAACGAAATCCCAGAGCCAAGGACTCTGATCACAGAGCTCCGACGCCTCTGAACGGGCGCCATGGGCGCCTATCTGGACAAGACTGGCCTGTCTCTGCCCGCGGACAGCCCGGCCCAGGACGGCACTGAGCGTCACGCACCTGCTGGCCCTCAGGAGCCCTCGGCCTCCAAGAGCATCCCCCTGCTGTCCTCCTGGGCGCCCATCTCTCTTCTGAGAGCCGGCAAGAGGCCATCCCGCGGGCTTCCTGCCGCTGGGCCCAGGCGTGTGCTCAGCTCGCCTCGGAGACGCTATCTGCTGCAGCAGGCCCGCCGTGCCCTGCTGGGGCCGCTGGCTGCTGTGTGCTGGAACCAGCCTCCCCTGCAGACGCTCAGCAGGAGACTGTGCAGCGCGCTGACCCCGAGGATGCCCGCTCAGCACAGCGCACCTTCGCCTGCCCCAGCGCAGGCGCACACCACCGACTCCTGCGCACAGTCTGCGCCCTCCAGCAGCCACCCGCACTCGGGGGACCACCACACACTCACCGAGGTGCTCCAAGACAGGAGGACCAAGACCATGGCTGCAGACCACCAGGACTCCGACTCTGATCCACAGCGCAAGAGACAGCGCCAGGACGGCACCGGGGATGGAGAAACATCGCCCAAGCCCCCGAAGCCGTCTCAGGTACTGAACTCTGAGTCCTTCAAGGGGGGCCTCATTGCCCAGGGCTCCAGTCTTCCCTCACAAGAGCAATGCCACCCCTCTTCTGGGAGGTCCATGGCAAGCAGGCGGGTTGCTGGCAAGCCTGGCTCTGACCAGAATGGCCTCTCCTGTCGCTTTGCTTCCACGCGGGCCGGGGCCCAGCTGGGCAAGAGGTCAGGTCTTGCCTCCCTCTTCCTGTCTGGAGGGAGGCTGGCCAAGAAAGCCAGGGAGGATCGGCTGCCTCCTCATTCCAGGGCTCCAGCCCCTGCCATGGCCCCTGTTGCACAGTCTCCTACAGTCCCGGCCCCTGACGCCCAGTTTCCCACTGTCCCCCACCTGCAGGTCTCTAACAAAGTCCAAGCGACCAAGGCCACCTTCCCCGGCACTAAACGAAGAGTCCGGTTTAAGATAAAGCACGGCCAGCCTGGCTGCGCTGCTGCTGCTGAGACTGCCAACTCTGCCAGGCCAAGCCCCACTTCTCCAGCTCTACCCAAAGGGCATTGCCACAGCTCATTGGCATCTAGCAGCTCACACAGCAGCACCACCCCCTCCATCTGCACCCAGGCTACAGCCACCAAGCCTGTGGAGGGCAGCGTGGGGGCCCCACCATCAGGGCCGCTCTGCACACAGCCAGCTGCTGCAGACACCAACACGCACCAGGTCAGTGGACCCGACACTGCCACCCCCACTGTGGCCTCGGGCAAGTCAGATTCACACTCAGGCTCAGAGCCAGCTCAAGGCCAGGCCTGTGCCACTACTTTGAATATTCCTCGGGGCATTATTTGGGCTCTGCTGCACTCTACTCCCAGCTCCCCTGTGTCTCTGCCCTCCCATGGCCATGTCTCCAAGCGTCAGGGCTCTCCCAGCTCGGTAGCAGCCACCTGCTCTAGCTCCATGGGCTGCCCCAGCCCGCGCAGCCTCTCGCCTGACTCTACCACCAGCGAGGGCAGCTTGAGCTTCAACCGCACAGCCAGGCCTGCCTTCCAATTTCCCTCTACCTCCCGCGACATGCCGACTCTCCGCATCCACACCAAAGGCCGCACCAAGCTCCCCTGCGGGCACTACAAGCCAGTCCCTGGCTGCTCATGGATGCCAAGACAGGATGAGGCCGCACACACACCTGCTCAGCCACAGCCGGCCACATCACAGGCCCAGGTGGCTTTGGGCTCCTCAGTCTTGTCTGCTTTGGGCTGTCAGAAAGGCCGAGCCTCCACCTTCTGGGCCCCTGCCAACATGCA